AGTAGCCCTGTCATTACCTCGGTGCTGCACACCAGCAATGCCATTTGGGGAACAAACCTGTCATTAGCAGGAACACTGGACTGGGCTGGCATTTATGGACAGGGCAACCAGGCCAGTGCTCTGGTTTGCACTTCTTCGTCACCCTCTGAGGTTACAAGGGGCCATGCACTTGATGGAAAGCTTCCCCTCCTTTGGGTTGCAGCCCCCAAGGCTGAACTTTGGCCACGGCTGTCCACGCACAGCTCTTGGTGCTCTCCAAGACTCCCTAGCTGCCACTGCCCTGGCTGCACTCCCAGTGCTTGGACATGGAATCTCCTGAGAGCTGCAGCAACTGCAGCTATGGACAGAGTTGGGGATAGAGGCCACCCCTCCATGGAGCAGGGCTACCTCCACCTCTGCAGGTCCCACCCACACCAAGCCCATCCCTGTGCTGTCAGGGCACTGCGAGGGGATGGGCTTTCTCTGCCTTGGCTTTGTGGGCTCAGCAGGTTGGTTCCAAGAGGGAGCTTACGTGGCTGCTGTAGAGGGGGGCCTGCCCTGGCTCATTGCCTTTGATTTACCACTCCCAGTGATCTGTGTTTATTTGTTGCATTCAGCTTTGGGAACTGTGAGTGCTGGCAGCTGGGGGTTTGCAGTGGCACAGCACAGCCCCGGGGCAGCACCCACAGCTGGGACCTCCCCAGCCACAGGGCCCCCACTGTGGGAGGAGGAGAGGGCTGGGGCATGGAGGCAAGGCAGGGCAGAGATCTCACTAATACACAAGCAGCAGGGCTGTGGGGGTGCCCTTTGCCCAGCAGAGGGGCCCCTGCCATGAGCAACAGCACTGGGCAAGAGCCAAAATGGCCTTTAGCAGCCAAACCTTGATGCCAAGGTCCTGCCCTGGGTGGCTGTGGCATCGAAGCACACAGAGCACAGAGCCTCACCCACCAGCACAGGTAAGGACCCAGCACACCCCACCGGTGCTAAGGGATGCAGCCCCCCTCCAATGCAGTTGCCTCCCCAAAACACCTCGGTCCCAGGATCAAGGGGCTGCTGTGCTTCATGGGGGAGGGGCTGGAGTTGACTGCAGCAAACCCCAGCATGGTTACAAGGGTGCCCCAGATTGAGAAGGGGAGCTCCTGTCCTGTGTGTGTCCATCCTCCCCCCAGTGCAGAGCCTAGAGCCTTTGGGGGGGGGCACGGCTGCTGTCTGCAGAGGTCACTGGGCATCAGCATTGCCCACGGACCTCACACAGCCTTTGCCCTGCAAGAGTGCCACAAGTGCCAAAGCGCCTCGGGACAAGCACTGTCAGGAAGTTATTTTGTATTAGCTCTTTGGTCTCCTTTCAGTGCTCTGTGTGTCCCTGGCTGTGCTGCTCTGCTGGTGTGTGGGAAACTGCCAGTGGATGTCATGGCCCCTCTGCTGCTAGGACCCTCCCCAGTGGCACATCGCTGCAGTGCCAGGCCCACAGGTGCCATGCCCTGTGCCATGCCTCCAATAGCATAGCACAGAGGCAATTGCAGGCCCTGTTCCCACCCAAGCAGCCCTCGCTGCCAGGCCCCGCAGCAGCAGGGGCACCCCAGCAGTGAGGCACACAGTCACCCCCGGCCGCCTGCCAGGGCAGCTGGAGCCAGCAGGGCTGCATTCCCAGTGCACCAGCGGCTCCAGCCAGTGCAGGTGTCACACTGTCCATGCCAATGAGATCCTGCTCCAAAACCTGGCAGTTTTAAGACATTGAGGATTAAGGACTGGTGTTTTGGTTTTGGGGGTTGGACAGGGAGGGCTGATCCTGCCAGGGTGCTGCTGGTGGTTTTTCTCCCTGGCTCAGCCCTTAAAGAGGTGTTAGACTGTCCACTATTAGAAGGTAAAAAGCCTGGTGTGAAGGGGTCCCCCATGAACATAGCACCAGGAGGGGTCAGCAGCGTGGATGTTGAGCTTCCTCTCTCCCTCTTTTCCTCTCCCATCCATCACTGGCCACCACCCAGCCTTCAGGGCCTACTTCTTCCCCCATGCCCAATGCCGCAGTGATGGCTTGGGCCAGCCTGTCCTTGCACGGCCATGGTCATGGGGAGGCCACCTGCCCATCCCCAGGCACAGGGCAGCAGCATGGGGCTCACTGCAGTGTCCCACTCTGCACAGTTCTCACAGGGGAATTGTGAGAAATGGAACTTATCTTCGTTAAAATAAAACCCAAACTCTCCCCAAAAAGGATGCAGGACAAGGAGGGGTTTGGCCTCAAAGGCCAGGTTGGATAGGATTTGGAGCAACCCGGTCTAGTGGAAGGTGGGTAGAATGAGATAAGCTTTAAGGTCCCTTCCAACCCAAACCATTCCAGGGTTCCATGATGATTGCACGCAATTAGACAAAATAATTGATTTAATCTTTCTAATGTCTCTGCTGCTGGCAGGGAGGTGGCAGCCAGAGGCTTGGGCAAGACTTTGGATTCTTCCTTGCTTCAGGACAGATTACGTGAGGAGACAAAATGAGCCCAACAAGGAAAGGGCAGAACATCCCCAGCAGATCATCCAGTGTGAGAAGGAGGTCAAGGAGGTTCATGGGGCAAGGGACATGAGTTGAGGAAAGAGAGGAGAAGCTGCAACTGAACGAGGTGTGTGGAGGGAGATGCCCAGCTCAGTTCAGCATGGAGAGTGGGCTGCACACCATAGATGGAAAACCCTTGGCTGGCCAGTCTGCATCCCTGGGAATTGCCTTAGGACCCATCTCCAAAGACAAGAACAACACAAGTGAGAAAACTCAATGCTTCGTTGTCTGGTAAAATGTGCTTCTAAGACAGCGAGCCCTGGTGGTAGAGGGAGCTGTCCCATGGCTGTGCCACATCTGGGCTGATGGACGTTGTGGCCCTTTGGGCCATAGCTGGCCCCAAGCAGGGGAGCTGCAGGAGAGCTACTGTGGAGCCGCGTGACTATGCCGAGGGGGCGGTGGGGCTGGGCATCGTGGGGTGGTCATGGCCAAGGGATAGTCCTGCTCTGAGTGAAGGCTGGATCAGAATTCTCCAGAGAGCCCCTCCAACCAGCACTTCAAGGAAGTGGTGCCCAGCTCTCCCAACCAAGCACGAAAGTGCCAGTAGTGCCTTACATGGGAGCAAATACAGATAACAGACAGAGATGGACATCACTGGGCACAAGCAAAGGCAGAGCGCTGCAGGGACACATGCTTCCCTCTGTGCAGCACAGCCATCTCACACAGTCCCGCATCTCCCAGTCCTTTCCACAAGAATATTCTTGCAAATGGACTGAGAACACACAGAATGTACCGGAGTTGGGGCAATGCCAATTGAGCTCATTCCCTCCAAGGTATACACCACCATTTTTCCAGCAGTATCCCATGGAAAACAAGCCATGCCCCACCCTGGTGTTTTAATAACAAAGCTGCTGGCACACTTGCCCAGGGCTGAGATCTCAGTCCAGCAGTTTATTCCAAAGTGCATTTACACTGGTGCCATTCAAACTCACACTGTCACTCTGAATTATCAGGAATTGCACTGAATTTACAGCTACTTTCACCTTAATTCCTGGATGATGGTATTTATAGAGCCAAGAAGCTCCCTGAAGTAATGGTCTTTGTCCCCTTCCCTCTGCTCCTCAGCCGCCAGCTCCTCGTACTCACTGCGCAGGAGGCTGAGGGTGGTGCCAAGGGCTGGGTCCCCCCGGTAGTGCTCCTTGCAGAAGGCCATCAGTACACCCACCAGCTTGAGGACCTTTTCCCGAGTGTCATGCTCTGGCATGGCCAGCAGATTGGGAACCACCGTGCACCAGTCCTGCTCCACCACCACCGGCACCAGCCTGACCTGCTGGTACTGCTGGATTTTCTCTTCCATCTGGTCTCCATGCTGGGAGTTCTCAAGCAGCATCTGTGGGAAGTGGTGGAACACAGATTAATATCCATGTCAGAGAGGAACTGCTCCCAGGAGGTGACATGTTGGAGGAGAGGAGGATGTATGTCCTCTAACACCCGCCTTGGACAGTGACTTGTCACAGAAGACCACGATGAGGTTGTGTCCTGGCTCCCTGGTCACAGCAGATGGTTGCCCACCCTGGAAAACTCCCAGTGACTGGGGGTTTCTCTGTCACACAGCCCTGAGAGGGGACTCAAGCGGCAGGATGCTCAGCAGAAGGGAGATAATGTCTTTGGTCTGATGCTTTGGGTTGCTGGACAGGCACCTGCAGCACCTAACAAACATCACTGCTTGGCTCTGTGCTGCTCACACCACCGAGATGGAGAACTTCGTCTCTCTCAGCCACAGCCAGACCTTCCCCTCCCAGCCTGGTCCAGAAACCCTCAATACTGCAGGGGCGGTGCCTGCAGGGGAGTGTGACTGGCAGGGTGCTGGATCCCTTCCCAGTGAGAGAGACCAGCCCCAAGCAGCCAGCACTGGGGCCAGGAAGAGGAAGGGAAACCCCACACATCACTCGTACACCCTTTGGGGCTCAGGTGGTGGAGTAGCTGCTGACAGCATGAAATTCTCCAAACAGGCTCCATTTGATCCAGTGGATCCTCCTGGCTTGGCTGGTGGCCCCTGTGATAACTGTGACATGTGCGCAAGGGAGGGCTGCACACCATGGGCTGCTGAAGGGAGGTGGGGAGCCATTGGGCAGAAATCCAGCCCTGGGGAGGGGAGAGGCAGCCACGGGGCCCAGGAGCTGCCATGGGACAACTTCATCAGTCCCCAAAGGGGCAGGTACCATGTTCCCTGTTCACCCACTGGTGATGGGCTCTGTAGGTCCCGGGGCACTGCTGAGGGAAGCCTGGTTGTATGATCGGCAGAAATGACAGACTGAAGACACAGAGGGACAATGGTGAGGAGACCTCCCCTCTCCTAGTGCCCCGGGAGAGCTGCCTGCTGACCTGCAGGCAGAATTTGGAGTGAAAAGGGAAAAATGTGGCAGAAAAAGCCATTCAGAGCCCCAGAGACTTGTGCTTCAGTACTGAGAGCTGTCAAGGTGGTTTATGATTTCCAGACCAAGCCCACTCCAAATCTGCCATCCTGGTCTGGAGCAGTCCTGGGCCCCACTGGCACCCAGAGCTCTACCCTCTTCCCCATGAAGCACTGGTATTGATGCATGGAATTCCCAATCCAAAAAGCAGAGAAGAATAAGTATTTTAACACAAACCCAAGCATCTGCCAGGTTGTCCCCTGTCCCAACCCCATGAAGCTGGGAAAAGATGGGAGTGCCGGAGGGAGGCTGGAAAACAGGCAGCAGGATCAAATGGGAATGGTTTGGGTAAAAACGCCCATGTCTGCTCCTTTCCCATGGAGCTGAGAGGATCATGTTAGAACCAGTACCTGATAAGATTTCAGACCTGCTAAAATAATTTGCACATTTACAAAGTCTCCTGGAAAACAACTGATTTAACACATAGGTGCAGCTCTGCGGCACCTGCAACCCAGGTATTAGAGCAGCCTTAATCCGCAGGGCAAATTGGCCATAAACTGAGACAGAGTGGATTTAATTCCCATTCTCTGGAGTCAGGGAAATGCAAAGACTGAACAACAGGCCACAGCAATGAAAGATGGGTTTGAAACTGACACTTAACAGTAGTAATCCAGGGTATTTGAAAATAAAACACTGAACGTGGAGGGCTGGGCTCCAGTGAGGGCTCTGCAGCAAGGCAAGGGCCTCTCTGGCAGGCAGGGTCAGGGTGGTGGTGCTGGCTGCTCCCCCAGCACCTGGCTGGACAACGGCAGCTGGACACCGCAGCAGAGCTCACTACAGCCCAGCACCTTTGTTCCCTACTCATGTCTTTGGTGTTTTGTTATTTAAACCTCCTTGGGTGGAAAAAGTGGCAGTGTTTTAAAGAAAAATAAAGGTTTCAGCCCACACTGCGCTTTCCCACGCACTCACGCCCTGCAGCAGTGACCAATGGGCTAGAAGGGACTCAACCCCACACCATGGACCAGCACTTGTACTGGGTTGGCCCCTCCTCATCCTTGTCCTGCAAGGATGCTCAGTGAGGGGTGAACGTGGGGAGTGCCTGGCCAGGTCTGATCCCAGCTCCTCACCTTCTCCATGATGAGGTCATAGAGGAGTGTCACCACACGGATGTGGAGGGTCTCCATCCCGTTCTGCCGGAAGAGGCTCCTGAGGACCTGGAGGCCACCCAGCTTGAGGAACTGCTGCTGGGCATAGGGGAAGTGTCTCAGCATGGAGGACAGGGCAAAGAGAGCCTGGTGGAGAGAGAGAGTCATTAGGATGGTGGCCACGGCCACTGCAGGTGGCACTGCCTCTCTTCATGGCAGCCCATGAGGACAGGAGAAACACGCCCCAGCCCACCTGTGCAGAGCTCCCTAGCAGAAACATTCCAACCTCTCCTTGCCAAGGGGCATGTGCAACAGTCGCTTTCGCTCCTGATCCCAACCCTCCCTGGCATCATGACGCTGCCCACACTTGAGTGACTTCCACCCAAACTCCAACCCAGGCTGTCACTGTGTTTACTAAAATGATAACCCAGAGGGACCTGTAGACAGCATCTGACCCAGTGCCATCACTTCTTTTCGCTATTCACAGAAAGATAGAATCTAGAATGTTAAGGAGTTTTAATGGACCTTAGACATCGTCTAGTCCCAACTTCCCCTGCCGTGGGCCAGGACACCTCTTACCAGACCAGGCTGCTCAAGGCTTTATCCAACCTGACTTTGAACACTGCCAGGCTTGGGGCAGCCCCACAGTCCTCTGTACAGAGCCCAGCCATGGGCAAGGGATGAGGTGAGGCAGGTCCAGAAATGCTCAGCACAGCCTGATCCCCATGAGATGATTTGGATGCTTGGTGTGATGTCCCTGCATCTACATGGCCAGAAGACAAGAACCTGATGTTCCCCAGCCCCAAAACAGGGCCTGTCATGGTGCAGCACCACACACCAACAGTGAGAGCTCCAGCATCCACATGTGCCCCCAGGGCCTTGGGCAGTGCAGGGTTAGCACCAATTAGAAGCCACCCTAATCCTACTGAATCTCACACTGTCTGACTTTGACAACCACGGTGGCAGAGAGGCTGAGTTCCTCTGTGCACCAAGAGGGACCGTGCCTCCACACTCCCTGTGAACAGATCCGAACTGACAGCCATGTCTTCCCCATCCCCAGTTTTTTCTATTTTCCATTTTGCGAGTTGCCATTGGTGAATCGGAGATGTTTCTGTCTCCTTTTTTAATCACAGGCCAAAGGGTGGGGGAGGGAAGAAATGCACTTTTGGCCTGGCAGTCATGCACTGCAGTGAGCAGCAGGGCGGAAAAACCACCGGAGTGGGAGCCCCGAGCTGCTGCTCTGTGTGGGAAGGGGCTGGGGCTCCTGACCTGGAGAGAGACAGGAGTATGTACAATGCATGGGAACTGGAAATGAAAACCTGCTGTCCTCGTGAAAATGGGGGTTCGATCCTCAGAGTCTCATAAGGCTGTGTGGGAATGTGGACAATACTGAGTCCATTCCTCACTTCTCCAGGAGTAGCCAGCACGATGCACTCAGGCTCACTGGAAAGAATTATTCTGGACTCAGCACCCAGGGGTTCACAGCAATGCTGGTAAAGGCCTCTGAATGCACAGCCATCCCTTCTCACGCCAAAACGAGTTCTGGATTGAGACACAGGCACCCCTGGGAGGTGTTTTGGAGCATGCAGTATGCCATGCTGCACCTTCTCTGGCCAGGATTTCCTCACACCCACAACCAAAAGAAACAGGGCTCCCCAGCCCCTCCTGTGCCTTTTACTTGACAGAGGATTCTTACCAGGGACTAAAGGAGTTTTTGGGGAGCTCATTACAGCTCAGGCAGCACCTGGTGGTGTGTTACAGATGAACAGCAGAGCTGGTGGTTCCCATGCCCTGCCAGACATCCTCACACAGGAGATCCCTGTGGTAAACAGGGCTGGGATTTCAGGAGCACCCAGATAACATTACAGAGGTGGCATCAGACGCTAAAGCGAGGGTAATGGGATCTCATGCTCCAAGGAGTACAGCAAGGAGGGAGAGAGGGAGGGGTGAGGAAGCTGGGTTGACTCTCTTTTGTGTCGGAGGGGAGGGGAG